TTCTTGGTTCCACTAATTAATTCTTTTGAAGATATTTTCCCATCAGCATAGGAAAAACAGAAACATAATTTGATATTTCCTATTAAGTATCATCATTCTGGAATTCTTTTTTGAAGGCATGATATTTTATCACAGAACTTGCCTTGACCACACGGTTGGGCTTTGCTGTGCATGGGTATCCATCACAGCTGTTCTCTCTTCCTGGTCTCTGCTGAGATTAGTGGCATGAGTGATACCAGGCAAATGATCTTTGGTTTTATATAGAAGAATCATGTGCAGTCCTTCCTCTCTGGGATACTCTACAATGGTCGTAAATAAATGTGCTAAGCCATTATTTTCAAGCTTGAGGGGATGCAGTCTTGTTGGTCATTTTTTATTCAATCTGTCACTGAAGATGAAGGCAACCTGCTGGAGAAGGGTTTCTTTGACTGTGGATGCTAGTGGTCTGGGCCACTTACTGGGCCTATGGGCCACTTACTGACCCTTACTGGGCCCGCGTAGCCTAAAGCTGTCATTAGTGCTGCACTTCTGATCCAATTTGTTGTGGGCCATTTCAGGACTCGTCCTCATTTCCTGCAGCTTGGTGGTTGCTTCCTGTGGTGTGTTAAAAATGACAAGTCAGGTGGTGGTTCACATCATAAGCAGCTCTCCTTGTGCTTGAATTCCAGAGGATTTAACTCATTCTTAGTTGTTCGTATAAAGAGCAAAAGAGATGAGGTTGAAAGGAGCATTCATACAGAAAAGGCAAGGGGAGGTGTTGTCCTTTTAGTAGCTGTGATGATTGCCTTTAAAAGGCTTCCCGAAAAATAGTCAACTACTTTTATTCACCAGGCCACCCTATGGCCAAGTAAAAGAGAGAGGGTGCTTAATAACTGAACGTGAGCGTCCTGACAGTAAGCTCACATTTGTGGTGGAGCTTTTTGCAGGCCTTGATTTATCCGCCCCATGGCACTGTGCTGGCTCTTTGAAGGTGATTTTTTCAGGAGAAGCCCACACAGAGGTTCCCTTGAATGTCATTTGAATCATTGTACCTCACGAAAGCAGGTGGCTAGGCAGCTGAAGTGAGTTTTTCAGATCTCAAACTCAGTTGTACAACGTCGGCCGTGGTAAAGAGCCCACGAGATCATACACAAGAGCTTGTGGGGCAGATGCAGTACTGTGCTGAGGGCCCTTTGGCTTGAGCCTGAAGCATATATGGACTTTGACTGCAGCTACAAGCTAAAATATGAACTAAGGAAGGTTAGGAAAAGGCTCTCAAGTAGATGCATTAGTACTTCACGGCTGTTCATGAAATTTAGCACCTTCTGAAGCATCTGCACGCCGGCGGCTGTGCAGGCAACAGCACTGCGATTCACTCGCTGTCACCGCTCCCTGACAGTCTGGATGCTCAGGTGATCCCTAGGAGCTTTCAGGTATTAAAGTGATTTCTCAATGTTTGAATGTAAGGATTCACCAAAGGTAACTTGGAAAAGCAAGTTAGGGATCCACAAGCCTAGGCTTCGCACCTGGACCTTCAGGGAATAATGTCTAGATGGCTCCCGACTTGCGAACCGTCTGAAGTAGCAGAGTGGAGTAGAGGCCATTTGAGTTTCTGCTTAATGGTTACATAATATTGAACTGTTAATTTGTAAAGAATATCTTAAACAAAAAAGGGATAGATAGAAAATTATGGAAGAGTAAAAGAGTTTTTGTTTGTTTTCTTTTCCTGGGGTATACCTGAAAACCTGCTTGGAGCATTTTGTGGCATTATAACAGAGGCCTAACAATAGCTCTCCATAATTCTCCCAAGCCTCTGATAATTAAGTTTTGGCTGCTTGTGGATTTAATGCAACTGTGAAATGTAATTTGTTTGCACATGAAATATTGAATCTGTTCTATAAAGAAAAGTGAACCCTGAGGAACGCTAACACTGCACTGCTCCAGTTCTGACTTGCATTTGAGTACATGCTGTTTATTAATATTCTAGTAATTATTGTTACAATAACACTCATTAGACACCTTTGGGGCATGGCATTAGCAATCAGAGGATTTGCAAACCCTGCTCCAAAGAAATTTCAATTTTAATTTTCAAGACAGGTGACTGGTCTAGGGTATTAGCCCCTTACAACAGGGCAGAGAATGATTGTTGTGAGGGAGAGAGAGAGAGAGATGGGAATTGATCCCAGTTTATTTATTTTTTCAAAACCTTTAAAACTGCTGGCAATGAGAATGCTCCTTATACATTTACCCCTTAATGATCAGAATTTCTGATATTCGATCTGAAGATACTGAGATGTTCTGGGAAGGGCAGTGATGTGTCGTGAGTGTCTTGCAGAGCAGGGCTCAAGCTCCCATCCTGGCCCACTGTGCAGGGGTAGGTTCAAGTCCTTGGTTCAGCCCAAGCAGAAATGTGAAATTCTCCAGGGCCCTTTTCCTCCACAGGACCTGGCTCTCCTGGACTGGATTCTTCTCTTTCTCTTGTGTTGACCAGCAGTGCCAACCTAGCACTGCAAACCTTTCCTTAAAGTAGCACGGGCACCTGGATGTGATGTGTTCTGGTGGGTGAAAATGCTTTAACAGTGAAGAACTATTTAGCCAAAGAAATTCTTGACTGTATTTCATTCCTTTAGCTTAACAATTATTTTTCAGAGTAAAGTTGTACTACATCGTATACAGCATTGTATATGGCCTATATGGTCTATATCCAAATGTTATAATTGTTTCTCTGATCCATTCATTATAGGGGTATAATATGCCTGATAACTAATGTTGAAAAGTAATGTAAGTGCAGATCAACCATTGAAAGGCAAAGCAGTTACTGGGACATCAGTGTGTCCAGGATACAGCCGCTTCTCTTTATTTATCCAGCGTGTTGCTGGGTAGCTTGGTTGACTATGTTGCAAAGTATATATGGTTGGACTGTGTCTGCAATGCTGCAGTCATCTGAGCTCAGTGGATTTTTAATGGCAGACCCTTATCTGGGGATGTGGAGATGGAAGAGTTAATCCAAACCATACCACATTTCCAAAATATCCATTATTTCAAAACAAAGCCCCAGCATGAAACTTCTTAAAGCCTCCAATTGCAGGAAAAGTGTGTGCAAGTTTATGGCATTGTAATATCTGTTCTAATTATAGAATCCTTTTGCTTTTCCCTCTGCTTATCTCCAGTCCCTGAAGTGAAAGCCAGATTGCAGGAGTGCAGACTGCACTGTCGTGGCCAAGGCACGGGCAGAGGGGCAGCGTCCCTTGTGCTGTGGGTGTCTGTGTTTCCGAACCTCCTGGAGACAGGCTGCTCTATCTTGCCTTTGAGGAAGCTGAATCAGATGCACCTCTGCATTCAAGACCTGTGAGCTGATTTCAAGACCGAAAGGTTCTAAGTCTGAGAATTGTACACACACCAATTGCTTTTCAAGCATGAGGCAACTAGCTCTACAGATTCACAACAGTAAAGTGGGAAAGAGGAGGAAATATTTCATACAAATTCATAATACTCTTGTTCTCCTATTAAAAAAAATTATCCACTATAAGCTTTAGCATTTCAAGTTCGTACAAATATTTATAATATTTAAGCCAGGTAGCTAATCAGAAGTTAGGTCCTGCTCTGCTGGCTGTACTGTGATATTGCAGCCTGGACCAGAGGGTGGGTAGGACCGTCCTGTTTGTGATGTGGAGCTGAAGTGATTGCTTGAACCCACACAAAAAGCAGGTGTTGCATTCCTAGCTTCTTCCTGAGACTTCCCTTTATTCCCATAGGAGAAAGAATTGTAAGTGATGGCTTTGGTTGCCAAAACAAAACAAAAAGCAGTGAATACCTTTGGGAAAATCCCCTCTAGTCCAGGTGTTGTGTGGAATTTTTCTCTTGGATGAATTTCCTCCTGACCGTTTAATTTACCTTCCACTGCTCTGCATTCCCTGTTAAATCTACTGGCTGGCCTGTTTCTTTGCTCTGTAGTTACAGTTTTTGACTTCTGCGGTTTGTCAGATAGAAAGAATAGGTCATTCTGCATGTGATTGAGACCTGACAGAAGATCTGGATCGAAGCAGTTTCTGCTGAAGGATTTGGTTGTTTTCAGTGCTGTTTTGACTGGATAGGTAGAACTCTTACGTTGACAGGAAAGGGACAACATACCAGAGCTCTTTGTGCCATTTTCATGTTATCTTCTGCCCTCAAACTCTGTATTATAAATATATGCAAGAACAAATGATCTGTAAAGCCCCATGTCTCCTGTAACCTGTATAGGTGGTGATGACCAGAAGTAAATGCAATGCAAAAGCTATCTCAGAAGGCCTGCCTTGCTTTCCTGTCTCCAGTGTCTTTCCTAGACTAAACTGTGCATCCACTGTAATTCACTCGGGTTGCTTTGAGTTGCAAGATTTTTCTCCCCTGATATAGGGCAGTGGCAGTTATTGCAGGTCTAACACATGTGCTAAGGAGTCCCAAGATTCACTTGCTCAGAAAATGAGCTCTCTGGTTTAAGCTGTGACCTTAGAATGAGAGCAGAAAGGCAGACTCAGCACAACAGAGCTTTTTTTTAATTATTAATTTGAGATGTGTTCTTGAAACTCCGCATTAGAAACAAACAAACAAAACAAAAAAGAAACAGCAACAAAAAGATCTTAGTGACAAGAAATCGTAAAAAACAGTTATATGAGAGCTAATATCTTCTGCTCAGGCCCAGTCTTCTTCTGAGGCCTAATCACATCTCTAATTGCACACCAATGAGAATTTCAAGTTCCAGTCTTCTATATGGTGTGAGGTGGCTGAGGCTTTGCCTAGGAATAATGGAATTAAGTTATGGTTATGCAGATTTCTCCAAGAAACTTCTTGTCACAAGCTCTCTTGTAGCCAGAGAATTTACTGGGTTGTCAAGGCTCGTAGTGACGGGAGGAAAAGACAAGGATCTAATGGAAGGAGCCAAGACCCAGCGGCCTCATCTCGTTTCTCAGCCGTGCTGGGCTGTTGCTGACGTCCTTGGCAGGCAGGTTTTTGCAATCCGTCTGTGTTTGCTTCTTTTTCAGTGTGTGGCTGTGACTTGGCCCAAGGAGGCTTTTTCATCAAGAACGGGGACTATCTCTGCACCCTGGATTACCAGCGCATGTACGGCACCCGCTGCAACGGTTGTGGCGAGTTCGTTGAAGGAGAAGTAGTGACGGCCCTGGGGAAGACTTACCACCCCAACTGCTTTGCCTGCACTGCTTGCAAGTAAGTGATCCCTTTCCCTTAGCATTGCATGAATCCAACACAAGAAACGCATCGCCTTGAAACGCAAGCCTCAAGGCATATTTCCCTTTAGGGGGTGTTTTGTTAAAAAAGTTCTGCAAGTCTTCAAAGCACCACAATTTTATTTAGGACACAGAACTTTTTCTGTTACGTATAGCTTACTGTTCTCAAAAGGTTGCTCTCCTGGATGAGGGAATTGAATATTGGGCTTATGTGTTGAGGTAATAGGCATGTGTTGGGTTGAACTGCGGTGAGTATGCTAGTATGATTTGGAAAATAAGGCCATGGAAAGTCCTGCACAGTACAATTCAGAAGTTGGTTAGGCTTTTAGAGCAGTTAAACAACTGAAAACATACCAAGACTCCTTAGAACGTCACATAAGAACACAAGACCTGGAAGCAACTGCAGTCTCCCTCATCTCCTTAAGTCCAGTATGAGAATCGACCTTCAGTTCTGCAGTGCTTACAGAGAAGTTAGTGATAGGGATGGACCAAAAGGTTCCACTTTTAATTTTATTCTTATTTTAACTCTCACTGAGATATTATTTCAGAAATGAGGAGACCCAAGGGAGAATATTCCACGTGATCTTATAGCTTCTTCATTCAAGGAGTTCCATGCTTGAAAACCTCTGCTGAGCTTTACTGCCTGAACTCTACCTGGCGTCCCTATGTGTGGTGTTCTTTATTAGCTGGCCCTAGGCACAGATACAAGGATAGAATTTAATCTGTTTTAGTATGTGCCTTATTGCTATGGACACCAGTAGAGTGTTTTGGATACACTTGAAAAATAAACCCACTTCTGTAGATTTTTGTAATAGGGGCACTTTTTTTTTTTTTATAGTAGTGAAAATAATCTAAGCATCAAGTGAAGGTAAAGTGATACTGTGGTGCCATCATGCTTCTGCAGAAAGCCAGCTGTATTATCTGTACTTACAGTTACTACAGTGAAATTATTAAGGCTACCAGAATGTTCATTTTTGCAGTTCTGAGCCCTGCAAGTAAGCCTGAACTTTGAAATAAGTTGCTGTTTTGTATGAGAGATGCAGATAGATTTCATAGAGAGGGAGAACCCGAAAGGCAAGGAGTCTTTTGCTTTGTAGTTTTGGGGAAGAACAGGCCAGTGGGGTTCTCCAGAAGTCAGAACGTTTAGACTGGATGGGGTCTGTAACTCCCAGGAGTTAAGAAAATTGGATTGTCTGAAACCTAATGCCAGAGGGAGAACAGGAGCTACGTTGGCCTGTAGTCTGGTACATTTTTCGAGTCTCTTCCATATAATGTATTTTGATCATTTTTCTGTTTGATTTTAAATACTGTGTGTGATGTGATTACATGTTGGGGATTCATATCCTGTGTGTGTTACAGATTTAGCTCCCAAATACAGTGTGAAAATAGATGATATGGGCGTGAAATATGGCATCAATTTTCTCTATATTGTCTTGTACCAGCCTTTCTATGTTGAATGAACAAAAATGAGTCATCTAGATAGATTCATGGAAGGCAATTTTGCTGCTGATTTGTTTATGACACACTTAGGAATAGCAATGGAAGGAAAGCTAGAATTATGCCTCTTTTTTTTTTTTTTTTTTTTTTAAATAGGTCTTCATTTCTAAGCAGAATCCGGAGTGAGGGATGATGTAGGGGTTATGTAGTGAGAAGCTAAAGCTTCTTATCTCTCAAAACATTTGGAGTTAGAGACATTTCTCATTTCAGTGAAATGCTCAAACAAAGTGCTTTTGTCTTCATTTTTATACTCCAAATGAGAGTTAAAAGCAGTGTCTACTTCTGCCTAACACATTCTCAAGAATTTATGAGGTTCAGCAGATAAACTCATCTTCCATAGTCTGTGCACCCTTTGCCTTTCCCCGATCCCATCTGCACAGGGAACAACTACAGGGATGGTTCTATAATCTGGATACCTAATTTAAAGCTCTGGGAGAAGGAATATGGGCAACATTTCATTTCATGTGACACTGCATCCACTGTGACACGATCATTGCTGTCATTGCTCAATGCAGATGACGGATATTTTTCAGTGACTAGTTCCACATTCCTCCCTGGCTCCTCCTGACCAGTTCAGGCTGTTCCTTTGAATACTTTTCTGTGCTGTTTGCTGCCTACAGTGGCAAGATTATCATAAATTTAGCTGTTGTGTCTAAGAGGATTTCGTTGTCTTCTCCTCTTCAGATAAAGGATGTACGATAACTTTCTGAAACCAAAATACTAGGCCAGTCTAACCTCTGCTCTGCTTGAATCTGTGGACTGGATTTCTTCCAATGCTGCATTTGCCAAGGCCACACTGCAGAAATCATTTGGCCTGAGTTTCCGTAAAATATCCATCCCACTAGAGGAAGGCAGCAGACTCGAGGCACGGGGAATGGGACATGATTTCTGCCATCCCCTTGGCTAAAACATATTTTTCTCTTTAATCTCCAGGCGCCCGTTTCCGCCAGGTGATCGGGTCACTTTTAATGGAAGGGACTGTCTCTGCCAGATGTGCGCGCAGCCCATGTCCTCCAGCCCGAAGGAAGTGTCTGCCTCGAGCAGTGAGTATGCCAGCTTCCTGCTGCAACCTGTCGCTGGTCGAGGCTCCTCAAAAATTGCTTCAAATTAATTAAAATCAATTGTAATGTCTGGGGGATAATGTCTGTGAACCATCTTTGCTTTGTCTATATGTGTCTCTGTGACTGGTGCTGCGGATGGGAAGAAGCACTTAAATGTGTTCATATGAATAAAAGACTTTTCCCTGAAGACAGAATTCTTAAGAGGGCTGATTTTCCTTTATAGACACTGGAAAAAATGTCTTCTTAACAATATCTGAGGTTTCAGAGTCAGTAGATTCCATTTTCTTCATGTATAATTGCACAGGTTTAAATATTCAAAAGAGGACAATGTCAGAGGAAATTAATTATTTCTGATAGTTTCTAACATTTTAATTTAACTGCATTATCCTTTTAAACCAATACAAACAGGCTTGTGCCTTCAGTAGGCTGATATGACAATAACACCGTGATCAGAATCGCAAGGAATATAACTTAAAAAGAATGGTGGAAGGGTAAGAGAGAGAAAGAGGAAAAACGGAGGGGACAATTAACTTGTTTTGCTATTGAGTTTTAGTGTTTCTAAATGGTAACTTGTAAATTATTGATTCACAATGGGCAGTCATCTCTGCCATTACTGGTTTTAAAATCTTATAAAATTTCTGATCCTTTCCTGACTTTTTCGGGTTATCTTTAGCACTTTAATCTCACAGAATCACAGAACAGTTGAGTTTGGAAGGGGCCGCCCTCCTGCTTGAGCAGGATTACCTAGAGTAGACTACCCAGGGCCCTCTCCAGATGGCCTTTAAGTGTCTCCAAGGTTCTCTGCAACATTTCTAGGCAACCTGTGCCAGAGCTCAGTCATCTTCATGGTGGGGAAAAAGAAAATTTCCTTTAGATTGAGACATAATTTCCTCTGTTTAAGTTCATGTTCAATGCTTCTTCTGATGATATACCCAGTATAGTTTAAAAACTCAAAATTGCTCCAGAATTCCTTGTGACACTCAGCAGTTTTCCGTCCATGCTGATTTCCTTCAGGGAGAAATTCTCTGTTTTCTATTGGTACTTCGAGAACCTCAGGTTAGTGTGTGCAGTGCAATGGCAAAGTTTGTGCTTTGTGCATGGGGCAAGTGAAGTTCAGGTTATCAAAATTGACTGAGAACATGTAATCAGCACCCACAAGAGTGATGTAGAAATCCAGTTAGTTTAAATTACTTATGTTCTGGGGGCATAATGAAGGAATTGCGAGATATAGAGACCTTGGATGATTCAGTGGCATTGGACATTGACACCGTTTTATGCAGTGTGTCACAGCCCTTGTTCCTGAAATCATGGTGTTTCAGGACAGAAGGATCTGGATGCCATCAGACCTGGTTCTCAGGGTGACACTCTCCTCCACTACCATGGCCTCTTTCCTGGGCTGTGACTGCAGGTGGCCTATTGTCCTCGAGCAAACAATAGGTGAAGGTTGTGTCTTGGTCACCAGGCAAATCTAGAATCACTCTTTTATAGCCATTGTCTCTGCTAGTGTTTCTTCTTAGGTCTCAGGCAAGGGCTGTAGATAATGTAGGTTTTAATGCATAATTTAATCTGCTACTTGTGCCAAGATGTTACCAGAATGCGGAACAAGAAAGCTCCTGCTCTTAATAGTTTAATGTGCACTATTAGAAACCTGCCTGTCACTGTGTATACTGTTCCTCTGTGGACAGCTGCCCATAGGTAGATTCTGGTCATTTGGGAGCAAAACTCCTCAAAACAAAACAAAAAAGAAGGTGAGACCAGCATGTGTTGGTAAGTTGAGATGACTAACGCTAATGAAGCATCCTCTTTAACAGAGTGTCTTCAAAGACACTTTTGCAAAGACTCTTTTGCAAAAGCTTTAGCTTTGTGCAAAAGTTGACTTGAACACTGCAAATTTCTTGCTGATGCTGAAGGATACATTTTAATTAGTGTAAGCTGCTCCATATTGTGTTCACTTGTCTCCCACTGACTGAATTGGGCACCTCAAGCCATCACCTTTTCTGATGGCTTTGCCCTTTGAAAAGGTGGTTTTTAGTGCAAGTGCATTTGGGAGAGAATCTCATCCATACTCATGAGTCTGTTCTATGTCATATATTGCTGCCAAGTTCCGTGATTACTTTCAGGTAGATTATTGGAGGAACCTTTCCTGGAAATGATGAAAATTGGAGGCGAGGAAATTGGATAGACTAAAGTATATCAGGTTTGGTTGATCAGTCTGCTGGAAAAGGAAGCCTTGTACCCCATAGTAGTGTGTATTTGTCTTAATAGTGAAAAGAGGATTCTTATCTCTGTTGTTTTAAATAAATAGAAGGATTGTTGACAACTTCTCTGTGATGATTTTAAGGAAACTAAAATGCCTCATAACGCAGGGGTTAAACACATTGAATAACATGAATGTGAAGCAGTATTCCCTTGTGCACACCCATGAAATTCAGAAGAAAAAGCACTAAATAATTTATTTCCATCTTTTATTTAATATTAGCTGGGTTCATGATACTTTTACCTTCTTTATATTATTAACATGCTTCTTTCACTCCACGTACATTACCAAGAATAGGTTTACAGATTATTTTTTAAACAGACTTTTCAATCACTGCCTTTTTATTCTAATTTCATAAGGCAGCCTTTTCCAGTATGCAGAGGCTACAGAGCAATGATACATAATTCAGTTATCCCTCCCCCAGAATCCTGTAAGATGAGCACAGTGCATTAGCTTGGGTCTTCACTCAAGTCAGCAGGAGTCCAAGGCTAACATGCCTGTGAATGGCTTTGAGGACATGAAATGCTGGTGTTCCTGCTTTTGTTTTATTTCATGTGGCAGCCTGGTAAATGAGATGTGATCTATAAAGCAAAAGGACAGGATGGATATAGATGAGCCCAGCACAGGGTGTTTAAAAGTGAAGGTTTTGGAAGATGACAGGTCTCACGTCAGTGACTTGTGTTGCTCAGGGCTTTTAAGATGCCGTTGAAGATAGCAAAATTATTTTTCTTGGGTCACAGTAAAAGAGTGATTTGAATAATATATCTGGCTTGTTAATCTGAGGTTTATTATCATATTATCGTAATTACCTACTTTGACTGTCTTGAGCTGCCTTTGCTGTGTGCCAGCTCGATGCTCACACAGCTGTGTGTGTTGTGGGTCGCACTGTCTTTTCAGACAGTCACAATTTGAATGGATTTAACTTATCTGAGAACTGTGAGCCCCTGAAGTGCACCTGAATGCTTGCTCTTCACCCCTGGGAGGGCCAGCACCTCCCCAAGCGTAGCATTGGGCCTCAGTGCAGCCTGGCCGGGTCCCTGCCTTGACAGCCTGGCGGGGTCGGGCGCCCTGAACACCCTGTTAGATCTTCCTTGTCCTCAGAGGGGTTCCCTCGCTGCCCTGCCGCCTCCCTGCTCCCACCACAGAGCCCTTCAGGTGGAAGTTACTGTGTGATTTCTCCCACTGAGGTTCAGCCCTTTCTCAGTGGGCTCGTTGTGTGGTTGCTTGTAAGGATGTTTTAATTACCGCTGATCACCTTTTCTTCTGAAAGGTTGGGTCGCTTTAGTGAAGTGCCCAGACTGAGTAATAGCAGCTCAAATGAAAAAGCAGCCTTTCTAGGTGGATAAGAATAACAATCCTCATTAAAAGCAAACCGAAGCATTGCAGTCACTAGCAAGTTTCCTTGTGGAAAAGGCACCGTTTTGAACTCGTGAGGAGGGAGGCTCATGGTTTGTTCTGCTGCAGTGAAACGGGGACCTGTGTCCCACATAACTGAGATACCCAGTGACGCTGCTTGGAACGAGGAGCAGGGCGGACACGCTCGGCCCCTTCCTTTGCAGCCACCTCTGCAGCAAGCCGAAGGTTACGGCCTCGGCAAGACGCAGAGCAGGATTTCCCGAATGCCCAGGGTTGCGTGTGCGTAAATAACCCCGGGTGCAGCTGTTCCCCGGCTGGCAGCTTCCGTGGGCAGCTTTCACCGCGCCGCTGTGTGCGTTTCCCCCGTGCTGCTCTGTGCGTGACGCTCAGCTGCAAGAGGGCGAGTTCTTGGGGACAAATGGGCCTCTTGCTGCGCGGGGCCTGGCGACGCCGCGGCCTGCCTCGCGACCCGGCCTCTCGGCTCTATTGTGACACCGCTAATAAGCTTAGTGCCTAATGAACTCGGGGGAGAAAGATATCTTTGTTAATTGCTTAATATCCTTATCTCTCCAAATAAGATAGAGGAAAGCTCCCAGTAAATGTCTGAAACTTGTGCAGCTTGTGGTAAAACTGGAGAAAAGCCCAATTGGCAACCAGCTGAAGAAACAGGTGAACAGAACAAAACAGAATCAGCAGCTTCTGTCACTGTGCACAAAACTGCTGGGTTTCAGGGTTTCTTCTTTTTTTGGCAGCGGTTGCAGGAGAGGAGAGAGACTTGGGGGAGCTGCTTTTGAAACAACAAAGCAGCAGAATCAAGAAAAGTAAATCTGCTTTATAGACGTCTTTAAAAGGCTCTCAAACTGTCCATGCAATTTTATAGTCAGGGCACAACTGTTCTTTCATTAGATGTGGAGGTGATTTTCACCAGTATTCAGAGAAAGATTGGGCTGATTTATAGATCACAAACTTCTTCACAGGAAGTCGGCAGGGTGATGAAAATGGATGCAAAAATCTTTTCAATCATAGTTGGTGTAGGAAAAATACATATGCAGCAGGGATTTGTTACTCTTTCCTAATGTTTGACTCAATTTCCATTATTTTCTTCTTTAGCCTCTTTTTTTCTGAGCGGTCTGAAAACACCCTCAACTCTGTAGGGAAAACGCAGAAGCCAAAGGGGCAAAGTGGTGTGACTGTTTCTAAGCAAACTCTCCACAGTGACTTCTGCCTTGCAGAAATATTAAGCAATATCCAACACATGACATAGAGCTCACTGTTGGGAAGAGTCTTGCAATTTCTTGACACAATTTCTGTGTGTCAAATATACGTAGTATATATTGATATTGCAATTCAATTAAAATGCACAAAAATTACATTACTCCTCCCTCCTCACCCCATCCCCTTTTATCAATAATGTAAGAGTAGTACAAAAATAGAACTAAATTCAGGTAACTGATGCAAATTTCAAGCATAGTTGTTTCTTGGCAGGGAGTAGTATGGCTATTGATTATGGCTCAAGAATACTTAGCTCTTTCCTTGGTAAATCCTTCCAGTTGACTTTGATGTCCCTTTTTTATGATTAATGCAGGAAGACCTATTCTTTTCAAGAGTTTGGAGGCAGCTTTCTTGGTTTTAGTCCGTAGGCTTCATACCCACAGTGACATTAGCGGGTAATTTCCATTTACTCAGCTTTTTCTTATTTTATAAGGGTTGGTGTTTTGAGTGCTGCTTGATCGTTGGGCCACAGTGATCAGGAATCAGAAGATCATCCCAAAGCCAGTTCCGAGAGAAGGGCAAAAGTTGCCTCACTATAGGGGTGTCGCATTAGGAGACGGCACCAGTTTTGTATGTGCAGCTATGGGAAGATCCCTAGAGGTGGGAGGATTTGGCAATAGTTCTGTTAGGAAAGTCTGCCAGGTAATAAGCCAGGAACCGCAGAGCATTTAAGAAAAATGTGAGAACTGAATGTGGTTTTAGGTAGGCCTTAGTTTGCTGTGGGTTATCAGGGCATAAAGACCTTCCTAAAAATTGCCACACGTTGCGCTTCTATTGTTGGAGCTTGTGTCCTGTTTGAATTGCTTGTGCTCCAAGAGCAACAGTGGAAAATGACCCAAAATAGTCTGTGACCGAAGGGCACAGGATGGGCTCCCCGCACGCTGCGTTGAAGGCAGCCACGCTCGTCTGCAGACGGCAGCTCGCCGGGATGGGAACTGGGAATTTAAATGGAGCTGCAGCTACGTGCAGACCCACGGGTGGCACAACAGGAAAGAGGGGAAGGGCTGGGCACAGCTTGCGGTCGTCGCTGTTACCTCCTGGATGGTTTGGGAGCCTCTGGACAAAGCTGGCCTCGCTCGGAGGCAGCTCGGGGAGGCTCTGGAGTCCTAATGCCTCTTTCTATCGCAGTGACTTCTTCTCTGGCAGATTTGGGCTTCATGGGAGGCTGAAGCTTGTCACTTGCCCTGATTACTAAGAAGACTGATAGAAAAATAAGACACATAGATGCTCAATTTGGAAGAGCATTCATCTGTCTGAAACAAATTATAACATTAAGTGAGGAAAAAGCCACTTACAGTAGTGATGCATCCAATATTGATTCCTTCAGATCAATGGCTTTGCTTTATACCTCCATGTAAATTAACCAATTTCTTTAAAAAAGACAAGTCTTGGTAGGAATGCAGAGATGCCTGTTAACATGGAGTTGTGCTAGGAGCAGGAAATAGCCTGTGCTATTTGTGATTTGAGCCCATCTTTAAACAACCAAAAGAATTGCACTGTGGTCTTTCAGTGCTTATTTGAAGTTAGCATTTTTCTCAACTGGCTATTTGTACTGAATTTCCAAAGTTGTATTCCCCTCACCTCCTTGGAGGAATCTGGTTCCCTCCGTTGTGCGCCCAGCCTAAATCCGCGGGCCTAAATCCTGGATCTAACAGTCTGAATGTTGTGTGGCGTGCTCTGATCTTCTGGAAATTATTGCTGCCATAACAAGCAAGTGATTATGGCTTAAACTTTGAAAGCATTTTATGTACTGTAAACAGATGAAATGAGCTTGTATTTTTAGCTTTCGACAAAAATATCTCGGTGAGCTGGAAAAGCCTGCATGATAACATCAAAACTTTTAATTTTAAAACAAGGCTTTGAAAGGCATCGTCTTGTGGTTAAAGGGTGATCAGGAAGAACTTATCTGTGATCTTCCTAGCCACACGAGAAAGGGTAATTGCTCAACCTTCAGGCTGCCCCAGCAGCGTTATTGGATTGCAAGCGCTTTATCCAGTGTCCGGGAGCCATTCACAGTTAGACGCTTGCTGACCTTGACTCCGGTGGTGTCTTTTGACCCTTTCCTCACCGCAGAATCACAATTCGTCAGAGCTCCCCTCCAGCAAAATTTTCAAAGCACATGTGGTTTTAAACCTCGCTGGTCCCACTGCCCTCACTATAGTCATTTATGTGCTTGAAGTCATATGTACACTGGGGTATTCCACTGAGCCGGATCTGTGCTTGTTCTTTAAGTCTGGATATCTTCAACAACGAATTTATGTGCAAATCCAATAAACCCCTGTGTGTTCCCAGCACGTGGGGGTGGTTTCTCTCAGTTATGTGGCTCAGGCAGTGGCCGCTGAGCAGCACGAGCCGCTCCAGGTGCCTGCGGTGGTACTGATGCTGGAAGGGGAAATGGGATTTCACTCGGCATCTTGGCGAGGACAGTTGGTGTGGACATTAGCTAGGGGAAAAGCCAGGTTTAGTTAAATGCCATCTTAGCATAGTAAGACAATACTGGACTATTGATTTACTTAGATTTTAACATTAGCCATGTCTGTGACATTAGCAGACTGGCAGTGAAGTTCTTTTACTCTTGGAAAACGCTTCAGCAAGGCCAGGAAGAATTACCAAAAGTTGCTGTAGAGGAATCCATGCATGTTATCAATCAGCTCCATTTACAACACATAAACACAAGAGTGGCCAGTCCAGAACCACCCTCTTTAGCAAGTAAACAGGGAGAGGTCCTTCATGGGTTCCTACTTCCTCCATATATCTGTTTTTTGCACCAAAGACAAAGTTACTGGGCGAGGTGGAATTTTGGTGTAAGAGCATCTTCTATTTTGGCTTTATTTCAGAAATTCAATTAGAAATCAAAGTGTTTTACAACTTTTTTTTTTTTGGGTGGGGGGTCTCTGAGAAATTTCAGCTTTACAAAAATATTTTGGATAAAGGAGAGCAAGGTGGGAATCGCTGCAGAGCTGTTGGAGGGGTTGCTGTAACAGGGGGTATAGCAGCTCAGCAGGACTCGAGGGACAGGTAGGTTGGCACTAGAGAGCAGCGTCACCGCTAGGAAGCCGAGAAGCGAGTGCTGCTCCAAGCTGCTGCCTCCGTCACTGCCAGCACGATCCAGTTTGCGCTCACAGGAGGTAAATTGGATGGTTTCAGGGTGAGAAAGCTCAGTTGGAAGAGCACTCAGGAGGTGGTGTAGCATCCTCCCAAGGCAAAGGCAAGAGCCAGGGGACCCAAGCTGTCCTGACAAGTGCTTGACTCCAGAGCCTGCCTTGGTGAGCAGCCCCTTGCTGTCCTTGCAGAGTGGCATGAAGCCCTCAGCTGGCGCAGAAGAGCACAGAGATCCATTACGTGCTGTCGATCCTTGTCGCTTCATGATTTCAGTTTGCAACATTTGTCCTCTAGAGTAAAGTCATCCTGGCATTAAGACATCTTGGAGCTGCTCTGCTACTCCAAGCTGTGTCATCAGATGGTGACGTCCATGAGTACCATAACAGGCTTGCAGGCCCTTTCCTTAAGTGACTGGGGAGAAAAGGAGTGCAAACCACAAGTAAGGCGTGCTGCAAACGGTGACCTGGGCAGCAGGAATGCACAGGATATATTTGGGGCCTGCTTTCCTGACCTGTTATCCAGCAAATGAAAAGCTTGCGTTAGCATCAGGGAGCCTGACTCTCATATCGTCATTTTTGTGATGATGACCTTGAACTAGATTTTTTTTGTCAAGTGCAGTGTTACCTGGGGTGAAAACAATAAAGAAAGAGGGATTTTAGGCTGTACTTGTTCAGCGAACCTCAGCAGTGAAGCTGTGATGCTCCTTTCCCGGGTGCCTGGGCTTCAGCTGCTGGGATTGCGCTGTGTCTTCAGGTCAGGATGGGCCAGTGTCCCTTAGCTGGGAAGCAGAGGGGCTCTGAGGCAGCCGAGTGGCCCCGGCCATAGCATCTGGACCTGCTATTGGGACTTCTCCTTGAGCGACCAGGTTCCCACTAAGAGCAAAAGGAGGAAAACACTGATGTCTTTTAAAGATACCTCTGAGTCATGGTTTATGTAGCTCATTATGTAGCACAGTCTGAAGCTGATGCAGAGTGCTGGCAAATCTTGCAGTCATGGACAGCGTAGGATCCAGAAGGACTTCATCTCTTTTGCTGAACCTGACTGTGGTGGCAAAGGCTGAATCTTCATGCAGGACCTGTGAGGTGTCTGCAGGAAGCAGGATCTACCTTCCCATACTGTTTAATTCTTTCTTCTGGTTACTGATTGCTAGGTGCTTAATGAGCAGCAATGCATGAAGTAACTGACGATCAATGCATTTATCTCTTTATTTGCAGATTGTGCTGGCTGCGGAAGAGATATAAAAAATGGCCAAGCGTTGCTGGCTCTGGACCGGCAGTGGCACCTGGGATGCTTTAAGTGCAAGGCCTGTGGGAAGGTGCTTACAGGGGAGTACATCAGCAAGTAAGTAGCCTCGGGGTCTCCTCTGCGCCTTGGCCTGGGGCACGTGGGAACCCTTCTGCCTTGGTGCCCGAGAAATTGTTTCCACTTGGGTGTTTCTCATTCATACCAGAAGCACCTCCCTAATCTTAGAGTTAAAGAGACTGCTTTTGCTCCGCACAAACTACCAATAATTTCTTTACAGAGTGAACAGATTTTACAATATGCCTGTTGTAAAGATCCTGATTTCCATTCATCCCCAGGCACATAGTTCCACTAATTTCACTGAAATTACACCATCTACAGATATAGAGAGTCAGTTCTCATGAACAAATTTATTCCAGTGTTTTGTGCTGGATGCCTTTTCTTGATGGTGTTTTAAGGAATAATCCTAAGAAGCACTGTAGAGAATCTGATTCTGTTTCTTTCTTCTTCTGCACAAAAGTTCCCTTCAATTCTTTCCCATTTGTCCTGTGCTGTTGGAAGGAGTTCCAGACAGAAGACAAGGGAAGAGCCTAAGTCATGTTGTAATGTGTTTATTAAAAGGTGGTTTATATTTTATGAAATTTCTTTTTCAGAGATGGTGCTCCTTATTGTGAAAAGGACTACCAGGTTCTCTTTGGAGTCAAATGTGAAGCATGTCACCAGTTCATCACTGGGAAAGTCCTAGAGGTAGGTGTTTTGTAAGTGGGAGCCTGAGAGTTGGGTCAGGCCCTAGTATGTGCTCATGCAGCTGCAGAGAATTCAAAAGTTCTCACAGAAGAGTTTTACTTTGTTTTTAGAACAGAATTGCTAATTTTCAGAAATATATTCAATGTTTTAGCCCAAGTGAGAGCAGAAAGTATGCGATAGGAAATTAAGTGCATTAGTTTCAATGGATTTGTGGTTTCTATTACTTTTCCTTTTAATATTGATGTGCAAAGGCTATTACGTTTCTGACTCTGCTAGATTTGATACATTTGTTGAAAGCAATTTGAGTGTCAGAAACATCTTTGGAACCGTGAATATTCTTAGGTGTATAGCCCTGAAGAGGAGTTAGTAATATTGATTTTTCAGATGAGGCCAGATGATAAGAATGATACTGAGGTGACAGGGAGAAATGTACTCGAGAGGGAAGTAATATATTCAGAAATGAGAAAGCATAAACAGAATATGTCTGAACTGTCTGTTCTGTTGATTCTTAATTTGGATCCTCATCCATCTTATTGAGTCTGGACAAATCCTTTTATAGTTGTGTATCTTTTGTTGTCAGTGCTGATTTCCATCTCCTGGGGCTGTGACTGGTTCACCTTCGTGCTGGGATCCTTGATGCTTTCTGTGATGGATCATCATAGAAATGTATAAAGGGCAAAAATGCAGAGAAACACCTTTATATTTTTTCTATTTTTTTTTTTGGTCATTATCATTGAGATAGGAGAAGCAAAACTGTTATCTCCTTCCCACATACAAAATTGTATTCCGTGGAAAGAACCTGAACTCTGGGCTCAACTTTGGAATCAGCCTGTATGACTGTACTCCAGCTGGAGTTATGTTCAATATTCCACCTTGCCTGAAAAAAAAAAAAAAAAACCCTTTACAAAATGAAACTTCTGACAGAAATGGGGAAGGAGAGAGAACTTCACTTACAAATGTAATTTTTGAAGAAATGGAATGTGCTGTTCTAGTAATAGAAATAGACCTTATAGTGTTGCAGAGAACAAAGCACCTGCAGTGCACTAGTGACTGTGCAGTTTAGATTCTATTCCCTGAGCACCATTGCCTGTAAATATAAAACTGTCTAATTTGAGATATTTTATATTTGATGTCGAGTGATAGCAGCTTGTGCGTTTCAGCTGTGGAGACTTCTCTGGTTCCGTGTGCAGGATATTAGCCAAGATGGTAGTCACCAGGTGAGTGACTGGAAACACATTTGAACACCCGGAGCCCTTGTCACTGCTTCTACTGAAAGGAAGAACAGGTTCTTAATTAGCCAGGCTTAGTCTGCCTCTTTTGCAGCATGTGTCTAATTCTTTTAGTGACCCACTTACATAATTAGTGATAAGTCTGGATTTTCCCTAAAGTAGGAGGATTGTGTGTGCCTGTCTTTCATCTAGCAGTCTGCACCATCTCACTATCTCCTTCCCTCTAGTGATGAGTTTAGCACCACGTATGGGTGAAACCATAGCTGGGATGGGAAGCACTGTCAGAGAGAATTAATTGGATTTGTGATATCAGGAAACATAAAATAATACTAAAAGGACTTCAGATGCTCTTCCTAATGCTGCTGTATTATATTTAATGCATGTGAGAGGGGTTAAAGCCTATAAGCAATGCAGTCTGCTCAGAGGCATGGAGATGAAAGGGATAAAAGAGAGGGCTCCTGGAATCCATGGAGATCTGATAAGGAACGAGCTATTCCTATTTGGAGTAGAGCCTTTCAAGTAGTGGCTGTGAATGCAGAAAGGCAGCACTGTTGTTGATTTGGAAAGCCCCTGAGCCGGAGCTCAGCTCTCCCTCAGAACCGAAGCTAAAATTCAGCTTGTCAGAGTCTGTCTTTGTATCCAAGACTGAACTCTGACGCACGGTTGCTTTTTGGCCTCTGAGGCTGGTTCTTAGAGCTCTGTTATTCTGACAAGGAAAAATGCTTTCAGCTTATTAGTCAGCATCTCATTTTAAATGATGGACAAAAGCAGTAGGAGATTCTCTGGAAGAGTTACTCCTCCTTTCTCGCCCCCCCCCCCCCTTTTTTTTCCTCTCTTCTTTTGGATATTTATTATCAAAAGAAAAGGCAACATTTTGCTAAAATATAGAAGCAAAACAGGTATGTGACTTTTTGTAAAATTCAGAGAAAATAAGACAAAATTAGACAAAGGTTTTTCCATTTGGCCTTACCTCTACAGAACCACAGTATATCAGAAAATTAGAGACTCTCTGAATGATCTTAAAAATATATGGAAATATTAATCACATGAATTTCTAGGCAAGACTGTAGAAGATTTTTTCTTGAATAGTATTTGTGGCTCTCACTGAGTATCAGAGGCACAACCTATAATAATACAGTAGAGGGCAGCACTAGCTCTCGGTAGGGAACTAAGAGCTATAAAGCCTGAAGGAATTGAATTTCTCATATGCTGCATCTCTCTCCTGCTCTGTTTAAATGATATTTGAAGGCTGAAATACTTATAGACCTTGACCTAGAAATTGTTACACACTGTTGTGGAGGTCACGGAGAGGCTGGTTTAACTGAACCACAGTGTATTTTAGCATCCCGGGTGGTTGCTGAATTCCTCTGATACTGTCTCAGAATGTGGATGCAGGAGAGACATTCAAGCCTTGTCTGTTGTTAGGTAGCACTTGGAAAAGATGCCCCAGAAGCCTTTTGCACTGTCAGAAATGCACCGCTCAAGAGAGGTCAATGCCTCTATATAAGAATCAAGTAGCTAATAGATGGAAACCAAAGTTCATAAAATCATGTGTCAACACGACTGTCCCTTTGGAGCAGAAAAACGTGGTTTAAACAATGGGGTCGGAGCGTGATGTGAATCCTCTGGTAAGAAAGGAGGCGGGAGATGAGAAGTGGCTGCAGAGGAGAGTTAGCAGGATGGAGCATTGCTGTTTCCCCCCTTTGTTTTCTTAAGCAGTTTTTCTTTGGGAAAACTGGGTGTTTTTTGGCAATTCCTATGATGTGAGCTGTCCCACGGTCTCTCCTGGGAAAACAAACTGCATTCTTGGTGTGAACTAGCGCAATTATAGGAGCAGTCTAAGCCGAGGTTATGTCATCACCGACCAGCCAGAGCTCTACCTAACATCTGGTGAAAATATACATTGTGTTTTGTCTTTGTTAATAGAAATAATATTAGTAAACTCCCTGTTCCATAACTTTCATTTTATTTGTCTATAAAAGAGTTTGTTATGTGGGGCCATAATTCGCTATTTCATCATATCTGAAGAGATTGGATAGATTAGAAACAATTGGTGGAAAGTATGTAATCCATTGTATGCAAACACTTCTTTCTAATAGATCAGAAATAATAGGGAGCAGGTATTTGTGGTGCTGCTTGATTTTCTGCTAATTCTATATCTGGAATAGTTCATGGAAAAACAAGAAAACCAGAGAGAATGAAAACATGAAACTTAGTTTTGTTTATAGAGGTAGTATTTATTCTTGCAGTTAGGAATTAATTTTTTAAAGGAAATCTGAAATCTTTTGAAATACTACAGGCTTGCACTTCCCATTTATTTTTGTTTATTGGTATTGCTTGGCGAATGCAAAATCAGGCCCTTGGTACTCTACACTGAGCAGCCAGTGACCAAGATATCTAGCACTGAATAAATGGGTTTTGGGCCTGAGAATCCTCTTCTCTGGAGATACCTTCTCTGCACCCCCAATAAGCATCTCCAGAGAGCTCTGCAGAAAGGGCAGTTAAAGCTGAGGAGGAAAAAGCTGGGAAACCCTGGGATTCATCCATCCTTGAGCAGATGGGATTTTACCAGCCAGCCTGCAAGAGTGATCTCGTCGGTCAGTCTCGAGGCTCTTGGTTAGAACAGCACTTATTTTACTAATGTCTTCATACCACTGAAAACCTTGCCTTTTTATTTTTCTTTTAAGATCTGATGAAGGGAGTGGAGCATCTGTCGTATGAGGAAAGACTAAGTGAGCGGGGCCTGTTTAGCCTGGAGAACAGAAGGTTGGAAGGGAATCTGATCGATATGTACAAATACTTGAAGGATGAAGGAAGGGGCCAAACTCTTCTCAGTGGTGGCCAGTGATAGGACCAAGGGCAATGAGTATAATGAATTGGACTAGATGATCTCTAGAGGTACCTTCCAACCTCAACCATTCTGTGACCTAGGGTGAAAGCTCTCCACTGCAGGTCTGCTGCTTCCAAGGAGAACTTGCCTCAAACTCAGAGGCCCCGTGGTCTTGGCTTTGCTGAAATGTTTTTGCTGGGTATTTTTGGCATATAACAGCTGTCTAAACTTGATGTTCTCATTCGCTTTTTGCAGTTAAATAAGTGCGTGTCACGTTGTGACACGTTCACCTTGCAGCTTCCGTGAGAACCAGGGGTCTCGGGCCCCACAATTGCTCCCAGATAACTATCTCACTGGTTGGCAGCACCAACAGGGTGCAGGACACCCAGCACACCCTGTGTGGGGAGGGTGCTTTGCAAAAGCCTCACAGCTTGGCAGAGAAGGAGGAACACCAAGGCACAGGCAGGTGAATCATGTGAGCAAAAGAGTACAGAAAGTCTGTGAATAATGTGCAGGTCTTCATGATTTTTACCCCAGTGACAGGCTGGTTTTTTGGCTGTTGCTGATCTGACCGTGATTTGGCCCAGGGTTGTAAAGATCAGGATGTATGTACCTACAAACACATCCCCCCACCTGGCTTCTGAAACATTGCTTGCTTGGCTGGCGCTTAAAAAGCCCTCGTGGTTCCCCGTGGCCCTGCGTAGCTCGGTTCCTGTTTCCATGGGGTGCCGGCTACTCTCTGTTTCCTGCGCACTGTTGGAATTATCCCACCACCTTGTAAGTCGTGGCCGGGTGCCAGTGCAACAGACGGACCTGGAGAGAGAGGTGTGAGGAAACCGGACGGCTCCTTTGGCTCCAGCCGGCAAGATCAAGTTCTGACTGCGCTCGCTGATGTTATTTATGCTGAGCTTCCCCTCGTTTGAGAGGCGAGTACAGTTGAG